CTGGACGCGCAGAGTAGGGAAACGGCAGAGTGGATTAGTCTGTTCCGTAATTTGATAATATTTGCAAGAAATTTTGAATGTTTTCAGATATTTTTATACAAGATGGTGAACGCAAACAAACAGTCAAAAAAATTATACAAGTACTGTGGTTTCAATCTCGTTTTGTACATATTTTATCAGAGATTATGACGTAAATCAACTGAGTCACGTGACCATACATCCTTCATCCCCTTAAGTCTGTTCTCTGTTTATGGTCTTGGAGCCAGTACCCCGCTTATAGATCTCCTACCCGTGGCTGCTTGATCACAAAACTATCGTAATCTTGAAAAATGACAGCCTCTGTACATGCTAGAATCATTTGTCAATATGTCTATACATTCTTTTCAATGAAAGTAATTTTTCTATACAATGTATTTATTTTGAATTTTTTTACATTCATACATCACATTGGTGGGAACAGAGTAGTGTATCTTTCAAAAGAACCTTAAAGTTAGCTATCAGTTTATGCATAAATTTTTTTTTCAAAAATAATGTATTTATTAATAGCAAATTTTTCTCTTTTTGGTTATCAAACATACAATATAGAAAAATAAGTAACAGAAAATGTAAAGCTGTTTTAAGTTTTAAAAGTGTAAAAATGTAAATGTAATAAATATATCTTGAAATAACACAATACTGTATTTGAAATAAAACAGGCCGTGGTGTTTTCACGATAAAAACCATTTTATTAAATACTATACTAAGTAATACATTAATTATTCCATGGGGGTGTGCCTGTTGTCCAATTTATGTTATGTTCATTCATAATAAAATGAAAAAAGAAAACACTTTCTGTGGCCTTCAACTGGGCATTAAGATATATCAACGAGGTATTATCAATTGACAATGGTAATTTTCATTCTTTTTTTGATACGATATATCGTTGTGAGCTTGAGATAAAAGATACCACAGAGTCTGACACATCTGTTTCACATTTGGAATTTTACTTGAAACATGTTAATGGTAATTAACAACCAAACTGTATGATAAACGTGATGACTTTAACTTTCTATCGCAAACTTCCCTTACTTATGCAGCAATATAACTTCATCACCTGCATACGAAGTTTATATTTCTCAGATGATTCAATACACAAAAGCATGCTCTGTGTACATATAACGAATTTCTAAAACGAGGTAAATTATTGGCAAAAAAAGTTGATTAAGCAAGAATTTTATCAGTCTCCTTTAAAATCGTCATTTCGTAAGTTCTATGTTTGAAGATGTACGACGTATGTCTACACAATCATACAGCATATACAGAGGCCTGTAATTTTGTAAGTTCTTTGGTCGAAACAATGACGTATATTGGCAATAATTACAATTTATAATTGAGTTAAATGCCGACTGACGTTTTTCACATTTATTGTTAGTCCATTAATTATACGCTGAATTGACGACAGATGTTCCTGTTATTTCCCGATCATGACGACAGGTGTGACCGGTCAGCAGGGGATGCTCACTCCTCCATGGCACCTGACCCCACGTCTGATGTTTTGGATGTCCGGGTTTGCTCCGCTCCTATTAAGTATTGTTTTGTGGACTTCCGATCTTGAAAACTGTTCGTTATCATTTCCATATGTTTAATTGTGTAACTAAATTTATACCTTTTTTAATACAGTGTATCTGAGAAAATATAGATTTTATGTGAAACTGAGAAGCACTTTTAACTGACAAGGATAAATCAACACAAAAAGCAATAACAACAGCCATAAGTGGTCATGATACAAAATCCATGTTAGGTATAATGACATTTGGCTGAAACCAATTATTTAAAGATACGTTTTAGGCAATTTGTTTTCATTTTTTTAATAGAAACTCCGTAGTTGCTTTGTGAATGGGGCTATTATATTTTGTCGATTTACGGTATTCTATTAATACTTAAGTTTAATTTCTGATTTACACCTTCACAATTTTGATGACCTTTTTTCTTGCACTCCAAAATGAATTTGCTTCCTATGTGTCTGCTGTATTAATATACTAGTACATAAAATGTAAAATTAAAAAATAAAGAAAAAAAAACAAGATGTGTTTGTGAAACACAGATGCCCCCGTACGGCAACATAGCGAAGGTTAAGTTTTCTCAAATGCAAATCAAATATGTTGGTTCCTAAAGTAAGGCCTTTTCACAAGCAATACAAATGTGAAATATAAAACCCTAATACCGCCTGTTCAAGGGTTATGACCAAGGTTAACGTTTTATAAAGGTAGGACAAACTCTGGGTTCAAGGTCAAGGTTAAAATTTGTAAAAAGTAGGTCAAAGTCAAGGTTGTTGATATTGAATGAAATGTTTTCTCACAAGGATTACATATGTGAAGTATGAAAGCCCTAATCCTTACCGTTCAAAAGTTATGGCCAAGGTTAAAATTTTTTCATAAGTACGGAAATCCAAAGTAAATGGTCAAAAGGTCAAAGTTGCTGGTACTCAATGAAAGCTCTTTTCACAAAAAATAAATATTTGAAGTATAAATGTCCTATTGTGTACTGTTCAAAAGATATGACCAAAAGAAAAATTAAGAATTTTTGTGTAAAAGTGGGTCAAACTCCAAGGTCAAGGTCTAAAGGTCAAATTTGGTGGTACCCAAAGAAAGGTCTTGTTACAAGGAATACACATGTGAAATATGAAAGTCATAGTTCCACTAAATCAAAAGTTATGGGCAAGGTTAAAGTTTTTGCGGAGAAACAGACAGACAGACAGCTAGACAGACAGACGGACGGACACGACAAAAACTATATGCATCTACTTCGTTTATTACGGGGCATAAATATGTTCTCAATGAACATAAATGTTGTACAACCTGCGAAATTAGAAGAGGTATTGTTAGAAAATACTTTGTTATTGATTGTATTACGCTGATTTCCCTAATTTAGGCCGAAATTTAATCACATATACTGGATTTAAAATTTCACAACAGATCAGCAGGTACTGGATTATTTCTTTTTCTATTATGGATTACCTGCAGCGGTCATTTAAGTCAACAACCCGTAGCCTGTTAAACAACCTTTCTCTGCTAAAGTACAAATGCTCACAGTTCCAATTTCTGAGATGGTTGACTTTCATATATATATTCACTGAATGAATTTTTATTTAACACATTTTAATTTGATACCTAAGAAATAATTCTAAAGAGAACCTTCTTTGATGTCTTACTATTTTAGAATCACATTGGATGATCACATCGTTTTATTCTATTCTACACAAGATATAGCTCCCGGTGTTTAGAGAGTTTATTCAATATAATTCATTGATGTTCACATCGGCATACAAAAATATTCATCATCACTATTATTCAAATTCAGTCTGAAGAAGCATAAGAAAAAATAAAAGTCGTGATAACAAATTCTATAGATAGAATAACACAAAAGGAGAAAAAGTCTCAAAACACAAAAAGTTATAACAACAGCCATAAATGGACATGATACAAAATTCATGTTAGGTATAATGACATTTGGCTAAAACAATTATTTAAAGATACCTTTAAGACAATTTGTTTTCACTTAAATAGAGACTCCATAATTTCTTTGCGAATGAGGCTATAATATTTTGTCGATTTATGGTATTCTAGTGAAACTTTAGTTCAATTTCTGATTTACACCTTCACAAATTTGATGACCTTTTTTCTTGCGCTCCAAACTGAATTTGCTTCTTATGGGTCTGCTGTACTAATATGCTAGTATATAAAATAAAATTTTCAAACGTAGTGACTGAAAAATAAATTTAGAAAAACAAGATTTGTTTGTGAAACACAGATGTCCCCGTCTGCGACATAGCGAAGGTTAAGATTTCCCAAATGCTGATCAAATATGTTGGTTCCTAAAGTAAGGCCTTTTCACAAGCAATACAAATATGAAATATAAAACCCTATTACCACCTGTTCAAGGGTTATGACCACGGTAAACGTTTTTAAAGGTAGGACAAACTCTGGGTTCAAGGTCAAGGTTAAAATTTGTAAAAAGTAGGTCAAGGTCAAAGTTGTTAATATCAAATGAAATGTCTTCTCAAAAAGATTACATATGTGAAGTATGAGAGACCTAGCCATTATCGTTCAAAAGTTGTGGCCAAGGTTAAAGTTTTTTTCATAAGTACGAAAATATCCAAGGTCAAAAGGTCAAAGGTATTGGTACTTCATAAAAGGTCTTTCCACGAAGAATACATATTTGAAGTATAAAAGTCCTGGTGTGTACTGTTCAAAAGATATATGAACAAAAGAAAATTAAGAATTTTTGTGTAAAAGTGGTCAACCTCCAAAGTCAAGGTAATCTCGGTGGTGCCAAAAGAAAGGTCTTGTCACAAGGAATAAACATGTGAAATATGAAATCAAAAATACTAAATCAAAAGTTATGGGCACGTTTAAAGATTTTGCGGACAAACAGACATACAGACGGACAGACAGACACGGCAAAAAATAAATATTCCCACGAAACTTTGTTTACGGGGCATAAACATCTTCTCAATAAATATAAAAGTTGCGCAACCTTAATTTAGGCCGAAATTTAATCACATATACTGGATTTAACATTTCACAACGGATTAGCAGGTACTGGATTATTTTTTTCTATTATGGATTACCTGCAGCGGTCATTTAAGTCAACTACTCGTAGCCTGTTCAACGACCTTTCTCTGCTTAAGTACAAATGCTCACAGTTTCAATTTCTGAGGTGCTTGACTTTCTTAGCTATATTTATTTACTGAATGAATTTTAAATTTAATTTTTAATTTAATAATCTTTTAATTTTACTTTTAATTTTACTTTTAATTTGATACCTAAGAAATAATTCTAAATCGAACCTTCTTTGATGTCTTACTATTTTAGAATCACATTATATAATTAGATGATCACATATTTTTATTCTAATCTACACAAGATATAGCTCCAACGGTGTATAGAGAGTTCATTCAATATAATTCATTGATGCTCACGTCGGCATACAAAAATATTCATCACCACTGTTATTTAAATTCAATCTGAAGAAGCATAAGAGAAAATAATAGTCGTGATAACAAATTCTAGAGATAGAATAACCCAAAAGGAGAAAAAGTCTATTGCAGATGAAACATCGCTCCACGTGGTTTCTAATTCGTATTCTTCTTCTTCCATGCTTTCATTATCTTGATCTCGCTTCCTCTCTATTTCTTTGACATCGATTTTTTGTATTCGAGTTTTCAAAGGGTTTGAGCACTTCCCCGAGAAGCATCCTAATTCTGAACCGTTGGGGGGTTCACATCGTAGACGTCTTTCTGTTTGTACCAAGGAGCGATATGCTCTTCCTATTTGCCTTTTAGAGGACCTGTGATGTAATCGAAGTTGCAAAGAAGTAATCATGAGAATTAAAACAGAAATTATTAGCTGTATTATTAAATACATGCTTAAAATTGAAACGCTGTCCGAATTTGTAGGCAGTTCCCCACTAACTATAGTTAGGAAGACAGCAAACGTAAGAAATATGGTTACAGCAAAACCCATCTTTTCACCAGCATCGGAGGGGACTATAAACACAAAGAGATTCAAAATGTTTAGTAGAATAATAGGAAGAATCAAATTTAAAACATAATATAAAGACTTCCTACGAAGATTTATAACGAACGTTACATCTGTCTGGGAACTTTGCAAGTCAAATGTCACGTCCGTTGACGTCACTTCCCAGACGCTGTTTGGTACAAATTCATCAAATCCAACCTTAGCAGCAGATACTGTCAGATTTATTTCCCATCTTGTGTAACTCCAAGTTTTGAAGGTTATGTTGCACGTCTGTTTATCGAAAGGATAATGGGAAATATCGATGTCGCATATGGACTCAAATACCATATGGGGGTACCAGTGGATAGTGCCGTCATAGTCCACAAACACATAGTAGAATTTCCCACCGAGGGGCTTGAATTCAGTGAACCCGTTCTTCAGAACCAGGTCAGGTATCCAAAGGTTGTTCTACAAGAGGCAAAGAAAAATACATAATTTGAAATTTTCGATCAATTCCAAACTATTCAAAATGGTAAAAAAAAAAAAAAAATATTCAAAATACTTTTTTCGTATATTGAAAAAAATAATAGGACACACTACATTTGCATACATCATTTTTCATGACAAAGACGTTAAAGCCACTTGGTCCGATTCTAATCGCTAAAAATATATATTCGTTTTTCTTCTTGAAAAATAATTGTCCATAAATTGTTTCAACTTTTGTCAAATTATGTCTCCAAAGTCCTTTTCTTTTAAAAGATATCAGAATTCAAAAGTTAAAAAAATAATTTTTGTTAGGTCACACAAAAATTAATCCTGTGTTGATCGTTGTTGATATCGCGTGAAATTACCTTTGAAAACTTAAATTTATCGCTTACATGTTTATCTCATGAAGAACAAACCCGAGCATTTTTTTTTCACAACAAAGTACATATATTACCTGTACATGGACAATATTTTAGCTCCTTTAAAAAAATCATTTAAAATATCTGATTTTCACTGATTCTTTAAATATGCATATTAATATAAAAAGAATACTCGGGTTTGAATTATCTTCAATATTAGATATATCCGATAAACTTATTTTTTCAAAATTGATTTCACAACAGATCTTAACTTCCGTCAGGAACTTCTGTTTGTCAATAAGGTTTTTTTATCTGCGTTTGCCATGTAAGGATTGTTGTAACAAACTATTAAATCAATCTTATAATTTATTTATATATATTATCTATGTAATGGCGTACTTTTATTGTGTAAGACAATATGTGCCTGTTTTGGGTTAAGCGGCTTTAAAGACAAAAATATCTTCTAAAGAGGTACCTACATGAATTTATTATAATGTAAATTTTTCTGTACTACATAAACTATATAATAAATATATTTACTATTATAAAGAGTATAAAAACAGTAGAGAAATTAGGGTTCTGTCTGCTTTGTTTTTTAGTATAAACAAGTTAAACGTGAACTTTTGCACTTTAAAAAAGCAATACCATTTTCACCAATCCACCAAACCAATTTCGTATTTTGATGTTTAACGGACTTAATAGACGATAATGAACAAGTAATTAACAAGTAATAATTTAACTGTGTGACAAACGGGTTTATTTAGCTTTTTATTATGAACTTCCCTACTAATATACATGTACTTATATTTCTACATCATCTGCATGTGGTGTTTATGTCTCTCAACTGATTCGATGCGCATGCGTACGCTTTAGACACGAGAAGTATTTTAACCGAGGCAACCTCTTGACTTATATGTAAAAAAAATTTCAACAACCCCTTTAAAGCAGTGTTGGGGTCAATTACAATTACCTTAACCTTTTATTCATTAAAATTACAATTAAATTACTGGCTTTCTAAGACATGAAATTAATTAAATACAATTACTTTTCAAAATATTTAATCAAATTACAAATTACATTTTTTTTTGAAAATTTTCATAACCCTTTTTAAATGAATATACAGAACGTCATTCACTTGTATATAAATTCAGCCTCTGCACAAAAAATACAAGAAACAATATGCTATAGGCATTGTGTATCTCTGTGATTTAATTTACAACTTTTATTTACATTAAAGAACAATCCGAGATCACTTTGACGCAGTTTCTTACACACAAACATACATGAACACAAAAATTGCACGACTTATGATTAAATGTTTTTGATTAAATGTGGTTTTGATAGAGTAAAATAAGTTGCAGCTGTTACCCCTCAAATTGAATTTTTCTTTTGACGTAACTGAAACATACGAAATTGATGTTGATGTTGAACATTTTGAACATAAATGATACTTGTACAGAACATAACTTTGTCGGATACATTTAAATTCATTCATAAATATCTTTCGGATGTTAATTTCTAACGCTCGCGGGGCATTTTTAATTTAAATGATATCCATTGACTTTGTCTTCAAAATCATGGAATGAATACCTCATTAGAGGAGTGAACTGATTTGTTTTGATTGCAATTTACAGCTGTGGTCTGGAGGGCAAATATCTCTTACCAACAAGAGAGAATTTATGACACACACATTCTTTTTCTTTATTATTGATTAAACGACAGAAAATGAATTGTGTTAAATTTGTCTTTCACAGCTGAATAGACCTAAGAAGGTACAAAATTCAGATAAACATAAAACATTAAAAATTACATATGGATTAAAAAGAAACTAGATTATTATTATGGTATTATCAAGCCAATTATTTATTTGCTTATAAACACCTACTTAAGATTTTGTATCATTGGAGGATTATTGATATGTTTTTCAGTAAAATCGGGAGGTAGTGGTGACAATATTTCATGAATGTGTATCATTTTAATTAAATGAATGTATTTGAAAACGTAATTGAAATTACATGGCATTTTATTTTTCATTTTTTCACATCGATTCTTAATGAACGACTTAATATATTTTCTGATGAGTTTAAAGTAATACTTGAAAATCAAACAGGATTTAGAAAGGGTTATTCAACAATTGATAATTTATTCTCAATACATATTTTATTCGAGCTTCTTAAAACAAAAAAGAAAAAACTATTTTGTTTGTTTGTTGATTATGAGAAAGCTTTTGATAACGTATGGGGGAAAGCATTGTGGTTTAAACTTTTATCTCACAATATTAAGGGCAAAATGTATGACATTATTTTGAATATGTACAGTCAGATAAAATCCAGAATTGTCTATAATCAAGAACAGTCTTTTAAATGTGCAAATGGTGTTAGACAGGGTGAAAATATGTCACTGTTTTTATTTTCTATGTATCTGAACGATTTACACGATTTCCTGAATGCATCCAATATTGAAGGTTTATCAACTATATCAGAGATGTTTGAAAACAAACTAAATATATTTGAAAAATTATTTGCAATCTTTTACGCAGATGGCACTGTATCGGTTGCAGAATCTTCTGAAGAGCAACGAAAACAACTAGATAGCTTCTGTAAATATTGTAAAAAATGTAATTTAAAGATAAATATCGACAAATCGAAAATATTAATATTTAGTAAAAGTAGACGTGAAGAAAATATACAGATGCAGTATGATGATAAGGAAATAGATGTAGTAACAGAATTTAACTATTTGGGAGTAATATCATGTAAATCTAGCTCATTTATAACGGCAAAAAAGAAAATAGCCGAAAAGGCAACAAAAGTACTATACGAAGTATTAAAAAAGGGAAGATTACATAACCTATCAATTCAGTGTCAGCTAGATCTATTTGATAAAATTGTGCAACCTATTTTGTTATATGGATGTGAAGTTTGGGGATTTTCAAATAATGCAATAATAGAAAGGGTTCACCTAAAAAATGTGTAAACTTCTACTCCATTTAAAAGATTCAACCCCAGATTTTATGATATATGGCGAACTTGGCCGACACCCCATGGAAATCCAAATAAAAACACGCATGATATCTTATTGGTCAAAATTAATCCCTGGAAAGGAAATTAAAATTGCAAATTTATGGTATAAATTAGGCTTCATTATAAATCAAAAAATAGGAGGGAAAATTGTTTGGCTTGAAAATATCAAAAATATCTTAAATAACAGTGGACTCTAAAATGTATGGCTTGAACAAAACCCAATTAATATTAAATGGTTAAAGGCGAAAGTTAAACTCACATTACTGGATCAATTCAAACAAAGTTGGCAATCAATCCTTCAAACCTCACCCAAAGCTTTAAATTATAGAATATACAAAGACGAACTAAAATTTGAAATCTATTTTAATATTCTATTAAAAAAGGACTCAATAACATTTTGTAGATTTCGAACATGTAACCATCATTTATCAATTGAAAGTGGACGCTGGCTTTATATACCAAGACAAGATAGAATTTGTCGCCTTTGTAATCTAAAAGAACTCGGAGATGAGTTTCATTACATTTTAAAGTGCAACTAACTACAAACATTAAGAAAACTATGCTTAACAGAAAACACATTAAATTTCAGAATATAATTAGTTTTGAAAACATTATGAATGACAATAAACACTGCTTTCTAAGAAAATTGTGCTCCTTTGTAAAGAAAATAAATAAAATATGCTCCCCGGCCTAAATTCCAATACTTCACATTTATAGTAACCTACAATTTTTTTGTTTTTGTTTACTTTCTTACTCACGCATGCCTTTCTAGACCTATTGTTGTATATGAAATCAACTATTTGTTTTTGTAGTCTCTGTACGCTATTGTAAAACGGTGAAGAGATTCAAATAAATGATTGAGTGTAATTAATTAAATTACTATTACAAGTAATTGAAAAAAATGTTCAAATTACTTCAAATTACTTAAAAAATGTAATTAATTGCAGTTAGTTAGAGTTACTTTTTTTCATTTACCCCATCCATGCTTTAAAGTCAGCTTTTTTGCAAATATATAGATATAAATATTATAATGTTATACTGACATTGTCCCTAAATAAAACCAATCATTGGTTTATAATTTGTTTGAGATATTTCATACCATTTGTTAGGTCATTCCTTATAAACTTAATAAGAAAACAGACAAGTCTGACTTCCTGATCTATACATTGGGTTCGCGGCGGGTGTGACCAGTCACAGGGGATGCTTTCTCCTACTCGGCACCTGGTCGCACCTCTGGTGTTTCGAGTGGTCCGTGGTTTTTTCCTGTTTTGTCTAGAATTTTTTTTCTGAGAATGATTACTGTTTGTTATATTCCGCTTAACATGACAAAATACTAGTACTGGTAGGTTTATAAGTGCATGTAAATTCAATTGAACACTGAGGCATGCAGCAAGGAATTTTTGAACTTGGTAATAATTTAATTCTGGTTGTAACGCTGTATTTGATTGGATAAAAAAATTTACTTCATATCGTATAAAATGAGTTGCCTACGTCACAATGACTTGCGTCAAAAAACGTATCAATCTGCCTGACGTTACATGCAAATTTTGTACAAATTGAAGTAATTTTGTTGCAAGAAGGATATGGAGATAACGAACAGTATTCAATCTCAAAGTCCATTAAACAATATACAAAATAAGAGCAGAGCAAACACGGACCTCCGAAACATCAGAGGTGGGATCAGGTGCCATGGAGGAGTGAGCATCCCCTGCCGACCGGTCACACCCGCCGTGTGCTCGTTGTCATGATCAGGAAAAAACGGGAAAATTCGTCGTCAATTCAGTGTATAAATAATGGACTTACAATTGGTATGAAAAACGTCAGTCAGCATTTGACTCAATGATAAATTGTATTTGCTGACAAGGTCATTGCATCGACCATAGAACTAACGAAATGAAGACTTTAAAGGAGACTGTTGATATTCTTGTTTCATCAACTTGCTTGTCAATAATTTACCTCGTTTAAGAAATTGTTCATACGTAGAGCATGCTCTTGCGTATCGAATAAACTGAGATATATAACACTGTAACAACCATCTTTTTTTCTAACATCAAATGAATGAAAATTAAGTTATAAGCAATGAATTTAATAGCTACCCATTTTTTACGGTATAAACTGGGTTGGAACAGTTTACGCTTTTTTTATAAACCGCTTCGCGGGTAAAATGGATAGCTATTAAATTCATTCCATAGATAAAATGATATTTAATTTCAGGCAAAAGGGCAAACCTGATTAAACTGAATCCAGTAAATCCCTGTGTCTGTAGAATTCCAGGTAATGATTTCATCTTTCCACTTGACATAAAGGTAGGCTGTGGTCACCATCTTCTGATTCACGGCACTGACGTCATTAATACTGGAAATCCATAGACTCATCTCCATTTGTAAAGACTCTCCTTGATTCTTGATCGGACGGGTCTTACTAGAATAATTAGCAAGGAGAGCATCTCTCAAAGTATTGTATTGTTCTATGGTGTATGAAAGATGGGTGCATCTTGCTATACAAACAGTCATTAAAATCCCAATCAGAAGTTTCCAGATCATTTTTGATGGTCTGGAAAATAACATGGGTAGCATCTGTAGGAGGCAAAAAATTGGGTCTTTTAATAAAAACATTAGTCTAAAATAAATTGAAAAAGCCTTTCACTTATGTATACTTCATTTATCCATCCCCAACTCGAGTACGCTTCAGTTGTACGGGGTGGTTGTCTATCTATCGATTAGGAAAAATTAGAGAAATTGCAACTACACGCAGCTCGGATTGTTACTGGACTAACTATGATTGCCTCTAGAGACTCTTTGTATTTTGAAACAGGCCGGAAACCACTCGGAGACAGACGCAAGATCAAAAGATTAAATACCATGTAAAGAATTCACAATAAATTAGTACCAGATTATCTATCTGAGATTATACCAGATATGCGATGTAATGCTTCTGCATATACAACAAGAAACTCACCAAAATTATAGTATACCTGTATGTAAATTGCAAACTTACAAATCATCGTTTGTACTAACTGTAATACATGAGTGGAATTCCTTATCGCTAAATACCAGACTTTCGAGCTCTTTGTCTGCTTTCAAAAGTAAAATTAAACGAAAAATAACAGAAGCTTCGCCTTATTTTAATTTTGGTAAAAGACGCAACAATATATTGCATACATGGCTTCGGGACAACTGCGTTCTAAACGCTGATTACAGCCCGGAGGACCGGGCTGCTCTATACATATAAGTTTAAGTGGTGTATGGGGATGGGAGAAGTTATTCAAAATTAAAGATTGTAAATCAGAATGTTCTTTCCCTTTATAAATTACTTGGTATACAATATATTTTCTACCATATTAAGCGAATCTGTAAAATATGTGTTTTTCATACTTAATATATATATAATGCTGCTCGTCACTTACTAAAGAAAATCGGCAGGTCCCTTAATATCTAGATATTTAAAACAAAAACTGATTTATCTATGGACTCGAAATTCCAATAGCAGACAAAATTTAAAGCCAATTGCAATTTAGCTATAGAAACGCTGAGATACTTACAATATCATGTATATTGTGTATTTTGATATTTTTATTTTCTAGCTCAGATACACCATAAACGAGCTTTTTATCTTTAATTTTCTTGAAATGCCTAGATACCTACATTTTTCTAAAATATTTTTTGATCAATTTTAAATCAGGAAATGCACAGCAGATACTTTGAATCGCATTTCCAGAATATGTATTTGAGATTTATTAATTTTCTGCATATATGATTATCTTTAATGATGTAGTTTTAAGAAAACAGCAATTATTAAGAGAATGCAGAGACATGTTTGAAAGCATTTTGAATTACTCAACTTCAGGTTTTTATTTTAATTTTTTTTTCATTTTATTATTATTTTTTTTTTGTACAAGCAGGAGACATTTTGTGCATTTGTATATGTATAATTTTTGCAATTTTGCAGAATGATTTAAAACTCAATGTGATTTTACATTTAAGGAATGTTTTCATGTTTGAGTGAGTTATTGGTGTGCACATGTATATTTCACAGATTTCACATATAGGCAAATTTCATGAAGCGCGCTGGCCTTACTATATTCCTGTACACCTTTGTCCGCCATATTTCTTCGATTCCGCCATATTTAATTGAAAATTTTTTGTTACCTGTACCTGCTATATATAGCCTTGTACGATTGCTTCACTTGAGTGATTTTCTAGCCTGACTGTCGACATGTACACATCTCCAATAACAAAGTTTTTTAGAAGTCCATAAACTGAACAAATACATTTTTGAAAAGTAAAAAGTCAACAAAAAATAGAACTATACCGAGAATTAAATTATTTTTGAATGCATTTGCTGCAAAATAGAAAATAAACTATCACGGAATACATACATGTACCAAACACCCATGCAGGTCGAGAAAACGCGTCAAACGCAGTGATAAAACCATTTACCTGACTACTGCTATCGTTACAGGGATGTGCACATGTCGAAAGAATTATCCTATTTTACTTTTATTGAAAAATGCATCTCAGAAGTCATGTAATCCATCGCTAACTCAACAGTAAAAGATGCTTGGACACACGTTGCCCATGTCGATCATTTTATTTCGTCAGTGAAAATATCAAAGGTTGAAAGCTCAGTGTGGTTGATTGAAAAAAAATGCAAGTAATTTTTTCAAAAATAAACATTACTCTTGTCTGTTCATGTTGTAAATAAAATTTACGATTAAGTACATGGTTTAACTTCAAAAAGCAGGCATTATTACGAATCATTCACCTTTTGAAGATATTTTCCCGTGATATGAGGGGGGGGGGTGTAATAAAACATGCATAACACTCTCATAAAAATAATGTAAGAAAAAAGTCTGAAACAGATTGGATTTCTTTATGATCAATTATTATCAAATAAATACTGTGTATTGGATTTATTACACCTAATATGATTTGATTTAAAGTTATTTATAATTTTATGCACTATGAAAGAAAAAGTGAGCACGTTCACATACCCCACGCTCCCCCAAAAGTCGAAGTGCTGAAATTCCCAGAAAAAAATAAAGGAATCGCAATTTCCTTGTAATATGAACATCTATACACATTGTGTCCTAAATATCTGCAAAGTTTTACGAAAATGTATGCAGCGGTTTATGAGGAGTTGCGCTGACAAACCGTTCACCTCTATATTCAAGATATGGCCAAAATCTAAATGTAAAAGTGCAGAAATTCCCGAAAAAATAAAAAATTCGGAATTTCCTGGAATATCCTGGTGATGTGCAAATCTACACACACATTGTCTCCTATAAATATCTGCAAAGTTCAACAAAACTCTGTGCAGTGGTTTATGTGAAGTTGCACTGACTGACGGGTCAAAAGCATTATACCTCACGCCTGGGGTATAATAAATGAGTTTGATTCTTTGGTACAATGATAATGAAAATAGAATTTAATGTGAATTAAATTTCTAGACATAAATAATTAATGATTATTAGAAAAAGCATATAGGAAGAGAGAGTAAACTCCTCGTGAGAATTCCACATTCTACCTAAAACTAGCTTTTTAACAATTCTCTTGTCTGTTGTCCAAGTTCGACAAATACGTTTGAGGAGGTATTCGAGAAAGTTCCCAATGTTCCTATTCCTGTGATGTATATTTCACGTTTATTATATCCCTCGCCAGAAAAGTGGGAGGTTATATAGTAATCGCTATGTCCTTCCGTCTGTCTGTTACGCTTTGGGGTACCCATCTCCTATCCGCAAATCTTCTTATACCACTTAGAGAAATTTAATGAAACTTTCAAAGAATCTTAAGTTTATTACATATTACCATTATGCACCTCCTATTTTACTTTTTGATCTGACACGTATGGGTTTAGCGAAATATGGACTTTGCCATTATAACCATATGGGAGGCAAGGGGTATCATTTAGTGAGCTCATTGCTCATAACACATTTACGTCTAGTTTCTCTTTCAATTTGGGCGTTAGGGTTAATTTCCTGTCCAAAGTAAAATTATTATTCAATTTATGAAGCTTCGACATCCCACCTGAAAAAAAAAAATAAATGGTACAGCACAAAGTGTGTAGGATTTTATACCTATCATTGCCCCAACGGGTGGTTACAGACAGAAAGAGAGAGAGTTCAATATACAAAAGAATAAATAATAATTATACGTATTCAACCAGTGTCAAGTATCCCTACCCTACCTTTAAAATTATCTCCCAAATTCACCTCAAGAAATTATTTATATATATATATATATATATAAAAAACACCAGTACCTAGACTATCAGGCAGGGATACTGAAATCTCGAAATACTTCCTGTAACAACATAATTATAAAACAGTTACATTCCTCAAAATGCACATACTTTGTGGTGGGAGTGACACATTTCAAAAAAAAAAAAATCTCAAAACTCAATTTGGCAGAAATCTATGTCTTCCAAGAATATTTAGATAACGGTCATGTCAATTATTTTTGTATGCCCCCCCCCCCGTCCACAAAATCAAATGCCTAAATGTAAATATGAACTGGGGATGGCCTTTCTCCGTGTGTGTATGTGTTAAAGAATGTATAGATGTACACATAAAAATTTGTATTCTGGTTAATTGTTTTTTAGATTTGAAGTAAATCATTGCCGTACATCAAATTACTTGGTTTAGATTTGAGATTAGTACTAAAATAATCAGTTATAATTGATAAATGAATTTTGCGACGCAAATCAACTGCAGACTATATACATGACGTCGTATAAGATGTATGTTAGAAATACATGTAGATAAACAATTCACAATTATAGCTTATGAACATCAGTTAAATTATCCCCCCCCTTTCAGCCGCGCAAATACCAAATAACTTCTCTTTCCACTTGTGATATTTTCCCTGGCCAAAATCTGATCGGCACGGACTAAATGTATCGACATGCTAGTGTGTACGTAGAAATGACAGTGTGTTTACTATTGAGTTTGTATGGAATTTATTTTTTTTTGTGATGCATATTTCAATAAATGGAATTCAGGGTGTATATCACTTGATTTGTGCACATCTTCGAACCGATGCAGTAACCTTATTACCAGGTATGGGTACGTTTACAGCGTTCGAGGCGTTTTCTCGATATGCATCAATTGCATAGGACCTGCAAATCAAAGACGTTGGTTGTTTTGTTCCATTCAAATGATATAATTTCAAAATGTATTTGCAAATTTTATTGCTTTTTATTTCAAGTTTATTCTGCATAAATTGGCGCACTGTAAAAATACGTACTCATGCATCTAAATTTCTCTTCCAAACTTGCATTTTTTTTTCTTTTGATTCAAATCAATAATCATTCAAAAATATTATATTATTATGTTGTTTATTTTGTTTTTGAAATGTCTTGATCACCTCATGTGTTCTCAAATGCTTTACCATCGGAGATGTGCACAAGTCGATACCCAATCCAAAAAATCATTCAAGAGTAACGAGCGCATTGGGGTATACATCGTTACAATGAGACAAGGTATCTGAAAGAAATATGGCGGAATACGGCTATAGTTGGAATGAAACAAGTCGTACATAGATGAAAATGTTGCGTTTTTACGAATTCATGTCAAGTTTAATTTCTGATTTATACCCTCACAATTTTGATGACTTTTTTCTTGCGCTCCAAAAGGAATTTGCTTCCTATGGGTCTGCTGTATTAATATACTAGTACCCAAAATATAATTTTCAAACGTAATGACTCAAAAAAATAAGATGTGTTTGTGAAACACAGGTGCCCCCGCAAGGCAACATAACGATGGTTAAGCTTTCTCAAATGCAAATCAAATATGTTGGTTCCTAAAGTAAGGCCTTTTCACAAGCAATACAGATGTGAAATATAAAACCCTAGGACCACCTTTTCAAGGGTTACGACCAAGGTTAACATTTTTAAAAGTAGGACAAACTCTGGGTTCAAGGTCTAGGTTAAAATATGTTAAAAGTAGGTCAATATCAAGGTCAAAATTGTTGATATTGAATGAAATGTCTTCTCACAAGGATTACATATGTGAAGTATGAAAGCCCTAGCCCTTACCGTTCAAAAGTTATGGCCAAGATGAAAGTTTTTTCATAAGTATAGACATATCCAAGGTCAAGGTCAAAAGGTCAAAGTTGTTGGTACTCTTTGAAAGGTCTTTCCACAAAGAATACATATCTGAAGTATAAAAGTCTTGGTGTTTACTGTTCAAAAGATATGACCAAAAGAAAAGTTAATAATTTCTCTGTAAAAGTCGGTCATCTTCCGATGTCAAGGTCACATTCGGTGATACCTTAAGAAAGGTCTTGTCGTAATGAATACACATGTGAAATTTGAAAGTCATAGCTCCACTAAATCAAAATTTATGGGCAATGTTAGAGTTCTTGCGGCAAACAGAGAGACAGACAGACAGCTAGACAGACGGACGGACACGACAAAAACTATATACCCCCAGAACGTCGTTTACGGGGCATTCTCAATAAATATAAATGTTGCACAACCAGCGACATTAGAAGAGGTATTGTTCGAAAATACTTTGTTATTTACCGTATTACGCTGATTTCCCTACTTTAGGCCTAAAGTTAATCACATATACTGGATTTAAAATTTCACAACAGATTAGCAGGTACTGGATTATTTTTTTCTATTATGGATTACCTGCAGCGGTCATTGTAACTTAAGTCAACTACCCGTAGCCTGTTCAGCGACCTTTCTCTGCTAAAGTGCAAATGCACCCAGTTCCAATTTCTGAGGTAGTTGACTTTCCTAGTCAGATATACTTACTGAATGAATTTTAATTTAACACCTTTTGACTTTAAACCTAAGAAATAATTCTAAAGAGAACGTACTTTAATGTATTACTATTCTAGAATCATATTGGATGATCACATTTTTAAAAATTCTATTCTACATTGGATATGGCTCCCGGTGTATAGAGGGTACATTCAATATAACTCATTGATGCTCACATCGGCATACAAAAACTTTCATCATCACTAGTATTCAATTTCAATCTGAAGAGGCATAAGAAAAAATAATGGTCGTTATAACAAATTCTAGAGATAGGATAACCCAAAAGGAGAAAAAGTCTATTGCAGATGAAACATAGCTCCAAGTGATTTCTAATTCGTATTCTCCTTCTTCCATGTTTTCCTTATCTTGATCTTGCTTCAGTTTGAGAACTTCCCCGAGAAGCATCCTAATTCTGAACCGTTGAGGGGTTCACATCAGAGACGTCTTTCTGTTTGTACCAAGGAGCGATATGCTCTGCCTATTTGCCTTTTAGAGGACCTGTGATGTAATCGAAGTTGCAAAGAAGTAATTATGAGAATTAAAACAGAAACTATTAGCTGTATTATTAAACACATGCTCAAAATGGAAACGCTCTCCGAATTTATAGGCAGTTCCCCACCAACCATAGTTAGGAAGACAGCAAACGTAAGAAATATGGTTACAGCAAACCCCATCTTTTCACCAGCATCGACGGGGATGAATATAAACACAAAGAGATTCAAAATATTTAGTAGGATAATAGGATGAATCAAATTTAAAACGTAATACAAAGATTTCCTACGAAGATTTATAACGAACGTTACATCAGTCTGGGAACTTTTCGCATCCGTTGACGTCATTTCCCAGACGCTGTTTGGTACTAATTCATTAAATCCAACTTTAGCAGCAGATACTGTCAGATTTATTTCCCATCTTGTGTAACTCCAAGTTTCGAAGACAATATTGCAAGTCTGTTTATCGAAAGGATAATTGGATATATCAATGTCGCATATGGACTCAAATACCATATGGGGGTACCAGTGGATAGTGCCGTCATAGTCCACAAACACATAGTAGAATTTCCCACCGAGGGGCTTGAATTCAGTGAACCCATTCTTCAGAACCAGGTCAGGTATCCAGAGGTCATTCTACAAGAAGGCAAAGAAATATATTCAATTTGAATTTTTCGATCAATTCAAAACTATTCAAAATTGCGCGAATTGGAAAAAAGTATTAAAAACACACTTTTTTCGTATAAAGAACAAATACTAGTAACAAGACTCATTCATTGTCGACAAGACACAATTGTAACATTGCATATATCATTTTTCATGAAAAGGACGTTAAAGCCAAAAATATCATCTAATGAGGTACCCACATGAATTTATTATAATGTAAAATTTTCTTGTATTACATACAATATATTATAACTATATTTATTATTTTATATTATAAAGAGTTTAAAAAACAGAAGAGAAATGAGGGTTCTGTCTGCTTTGTTTTTTATTATAAACAAGTTAGACTTGAACTTTTAGACTTTAGAAAAGCAATACCATTTTCACCAATCCGCCAAATTCAATTTCATATTTTGATGTTTAACTGACCTAATAGACGATATTGAACAAGTAATTTACAAGTAATAATTTAACTGTGTGACAAACGGGTTTGATTTAGCTTTTTTATTATGAACTTCCCTACAAATACACATGTACTAATATTTCTACATCATCTGCATATCGGATGGTGTTTATGTTTCTCGACTGATTCGAAGCGCATGCGTACGCTTTACACACGAGAAGCATTTTAACTGAGGCAATCTACTGACTTATATGTCAAAAGGATTTCTTCAACAACCCTCGTTAAAGCAGTGTTGGGGTCAATTACAATTACTTTAACCTTTTATTCATTAAAATAACAATTAAATTACTGGCTTTTATGATATGAAATTAATTAAATACAATTACTTTTCAAAAGTATTTAATTAAATTACAAATTACCTTTTTTTTTAAAATTGTTATAACCCTTTTTAATGAATATACAGAACTTCATTAACTTGTATATAAATTCAGCCTTTGCACAAACAATACAAGAAATAATATGCTATAGGCATTGTGTATCTTTGTGATTTAATTTATAACTTTTATTTACAAAACATTAAAAAGCAATCCGAGATAATTTTGACGCAGTTTCTTCCACACAAACATTCACGTACACAAAAGATTTCACGGCTTATGATATTTGATTAAAAGTGATTTTGATAGAGTAAAATAAGTCGCAACTGTTACCCCTCAAATAATTGAATATTTCCTTTGACTTGAACATATTGAGCATAAATAATACTTGTAAAGAACATAACTTTGTCGGATACATTTAAATTTGTTTATAAAAATCTTTCGGATCTTAATTGTACGGAAGCCCATTAGTGCCAACCTGTATATATAAAGGAAAAGCAATATATAAAAGCAAACTTCGATATATAAAGGAAATGCGATATATATAAACAAAACCTCGATATATATAAAGGAAATGCAATATATATAAACAAAACTTCGATATATATATATATATATATAAACAAAACCTCGATATACTAGTATATAAAGAGAAATGCGATATATATAATGAGAAATGCGAAATATATAAACAAACTTCGATATATATAAAGAGAAAAATTTCCACCGCCTGACCTTTAACATGTTTAATGACCTTCATAACAACAGAGGCTTCGCCAACATACGATAAGCAGCTCCCGATATAATGTTTTGTTTGCGATCAGTTGGTGTGGCTGTTTCAGGATGTTGTTTTCTTTATTTGTGTATCTTGATAATTATAATGATTAAAACTAAAGCTAAAAAAAACTGTTGTTCTTCTTCATGTGCCAAAATTATATTGATTCTTTGAAAAAATTATGTACATTTATCTCTAAAATTAATAGTGTTGTCTGTGTCTGCTCCACTGTATTATATGTGCATGTACGTGTATTATATGTTTTTTTATGTTTCCGTACCTTGTGTACCATTTAAAGTGTGTGAATGAATCAAATTGAATTGATTTACATTTCAAAGACTTCAGAGACTTTTCTGCTTAAAATGTATATTAATGCTGGGGGTCTTTTTAATAGAACTATAATTCGGTGCAAACATACATGTGTGTTTTATCATGCTTTGTAAGTTTTTTTTAACGTTTTACTATGTTTTTACATGATGTATGGATAATTTCAAATCGATTTAAGTTAATTTACGACGTGGGACAAAAATCCACAGTTTATTTATGTGAGTGTACATGCACTAATTCGTTTCTTTTAATTAATTCCCAAAATACTTGATATTTTTTCCACACCATTAAAGACCCTAACATTATTAAAGTATAATTTTACTTGTCATTTTCTTCTCTTACATTCAAATGAAGTGGATACCTTCATCCTTCCCCTCTCTCCCATTTCGAACGATATTGATTCTTCTTTAACAATCAATGGGCATACTAGTTTATTATTTTTAAAATGAATTTAAATAAATTTGAATTAGGGCATCTATGGGCTTCAAAAAAGAGACGTCCTGTTAAATATTATTTTCATAAATTTTCGGTCGTGAAACCAAAGGTAGTACGCCTAAGTTTTTGTAAAACAGTAAACAAGATAGCTCTAGGTTGTAAAAACGAAGTAAATAAGATAAATATTATACTTGTTTCATTAATATACATGTATATACTAATAATTAAATCAACGGCGGATCCAGGACCGGCGCGCCGGGCCTGCGCCCCCCCCCCCCCAGTTTCAAATATTTGTATATATAATTTATAGGTCCATTATCCTAAATTCCACACAGCCATCAGACCCCTCTGCCTTCTACTGCGCCCCCCCCCCCCCCGTTACGAAATTCCTGGATCCGTCACTGTAAATGCTCTTCTTCCCAGTTAACTGCATTAGTTTAAGTAATGTTACAATTACAGTTCATTGATATATGCATGTACAAACAAATAAACACTACTTCATAGCAACATTTTGCCGATTCTGGGAAAGTTAAATTATAAATGAGTATTGTATAACTGATTCCCCCCTGCCAGGAGTTAATCTGTATATAATCTTGATGGACAGTCGAGCGCTACAGGTCACGCAGTGGAAAATTTTCTCTTTATATATATCGCATTTCTCTTTATATATATCGAGGTTTTGTTTATATATTTCGCATTTCCTTTATATATATATCCAGGTTTTGTTTATATATATCGCATTTCCTTTATATATATCCCAGTTGTGTTTATATATATCGCATTTCCTTTATATATATCGAGGTTCTGTTTATATATATCGCATTTCCTTTATATATAGAGGTTTTCTTTTATATATTGCTTTTCCTTTATATATACAGGTTGGCACTAATGGGCTTCCGTATAATTGAGAGTTTTTCTTTTCTAACGCTAGCGGGGCATTTTTAACTGAAATAATCTCCTTTGACTTTGTCTTCAAAATCATGGAATAAATATCTTACTATTTTAGAATCACATTGGATGATCACATTTTTTTTATTCTATTCTAAACAGGATATAGCTCCCGGTATATAGAGAGTACATATTTAATGTAGCTTGATACTCACATCAGCATATAAAAATATTCATCATGGCTATTATCATGATTATAATTTCTATAAAATACTTGATTCTGATTGGATAAAAAATTGTTTTGATAACTGCGTCAATAAAATCTAGAGTTCGCCTGCACTAAGCAGGCGGAACTACTTTGGCTGTCTTTCTTTCTTTATTATCACTTTAAGCTTTACAGCTTATCAGTATATATACATAATAATCAGTTTCATTACAGTACAGAAGTGGATATTTTACAGGGGAACAATTATAAATGTGTACGTATATACATGTAAATAATAATAGTAAAAACAAACAAACAAACAAAAATAATAGAAAAGTTACAATTATTGGATAACCAGATCATCTCTACGCCTCAAGCTATAATAAATATATTTACCAAGGTTACACATATCCTTATAGTTCTCAGTATTTAACAATTGCAATAATTTGAACATGGATGGTTTTTTAATGAAATATTTTTTAATAAATCTGCTTCGATAATCTGCATAAACAGGGTATACCAGTAAAAATAGGATGGCCTTTCTTTCATCTTCCTTAGCCTTCTTGTAAATGGGGTACAGGCCCTTTCTCCGTTCTTGTATTTCTTTTGGGAATTGTTCACCAATCGAGAGGTCTGTTTGTTTAAGTTTGAAGGCATTTTTCCGGATGAGTTCCCGCTGGGGAAATCTGGTGAATTTTGCTACAATAGGGCGTGGTTTTTCGTTGTTTTTCCTGCCGATTCTGTGTGCCCTTTCTATTTGAATGTCATCCTCCAATTCTAATTTGTCAGAGCATAACAAAAAATTACGCGGGTTATGTATTTTTTCTGCAACGGCTGCTTCCGTTCATTCCAGTAACAACAAACAAAGAAAGCATTTTATTGTTTAATATTTATATCTGTTTGAATTATCATTTTTAGTAGGATTAAAAATATTAATTATTGTGTTAATGATGCGAACGTCTTTGTACGTTTCATTGATGGAACGGCCACTGATCAAGAAATCTGTACAGGTGATATGCCTAATGTAGTTTATGCAGTGATGAACGCAATGGGTTTTCTTAAGAAATAAAGAAGAAAATATTCAGTGGATGTAAATATTCTCTTAACAATGACTTCACAATTTTCTTGCTCCCTTTCTGGTGCCCCACCTACTCCATAGAATAACAAATTTTCTCGCATTGATCTACATTGAAGGTCAAGGATATCATGTGTGAGTCTAGCGTTCTGCTTCATGGAATTTTCTAATGCTGTTTTCAATTCAGAAAGTTCATTGAGTGCTTTGGAGGTGTTCTTATCGTTAGTGTCCAGTGATTTTGAAATAAATTCTTGACTCTTTTCTACCTCTAGGACACGAGTGTTTAGGCTTTTTATATCATTTTTCAGATTTGACAAGGACATCTTAATCGATTCTAACTTTTCAAGTTTTTTGCTCATAACATCTAACTGGGAAAAAATTCCTTGAACCCACTGTGGGGTTGCCTTGGGGGAAGTGTTCGATTGGTAATTTTGAAATTGTGATTGCATTGGTGTACTTTGCACTGCTGTCATAGGTATTGATTGCATGGG